TCTGTGTGACTATTGGAGGCGTTAGGTATATTCTATATCTAAGTCTCCATCCACGTTGTGGACTAGTACGTGTGAGAAAGCACACGTGGTTCTGAACGTTCTAGCGGGGAACACTTCATAACATTTGGAAGAGGTTTTTCTATAGGTCAACCTGTTTAGGTTTAGAACCACTTACAAGAAGTGGGGTCTACTTGGACGCTACAGAAGAAACCAACTCCATCAAGTCCTCAAACAGGGGTATCCAATTTTAGGGAAACTCGGTGCACGTTGCGGCCTCTACACCACTTGGAAAAACAGGGAGAACCACTCTGAAGTAGCTGTTGTGGCAGTACTTCGCCCACGGAGGGAAAAACAGGGAGAACCACTCTGAAGTAACCGTTGCGGCGGTACTTCGCCAGACAGGAGATTCTCGGAGAAGCGGAACCTGGGTACTTGTTGCGGCAAGGTACCTGCTGAAGGCAGTGTCGACTTGAGCCCCATCCTCACCGGAGGCGCTGGGTATATAGAAGACGCCGGTTAAGGGCCACCGAAAGAAGGCACCCACACCTTGCCGAGGCCGGTTTTCAATCAAGAAGACACGGATAGGAAGGACGATTGGTTATAGGACACCAAGCAGAGGAAATCAAAAGCCAGAACAACCAAGCGCTCAAACGGGAGTAGGCAGGAGTTCGACGTGACTAGCTGGGCACGTTAAAAAGCGAGCAGTGACTAGCTGGGCACTTTAAAAAGCGAGCACAGGAATCACCGAGGTCAGAAAAGAGACTAGGACTCCGACTGGTTGACGTTACCAGGCAAATCAAAAGGCGTACAAGATTGGTTAAGGGCCACCAAAGATCAAAAAGGCAGGAGTGCGGAGTTTTTGTTACAGGAACGAACTCAAGCACTAGCGATTACCCGTGTGGTAATCCAGAAGAGAAGCCCTCATCTGAGGCACACGTTGAAGACGTGCTAAAAGCCCTTCCCAGGGAAGGCAATCTAGGAATCTTAGGATAAGACAAGTTCTTCGCGGAAGGGAACACTTTGACGAAGAATCTCTATGACTCTTTGACGAAGCAACAGAACTTCCATGAGGAGAATCAATCCAAGTTGAATGACAGGAAGGGCGTTCACAGGAAACCGGTGGATTACAGCCAGTTAATCCTCTCGGAACAAGAGCAGTCCCGCTCGAGAAATCTATCTCGGACAATACTACTTGACCAGATTATCCAGGAATCACACATCCCAGAAGGGACCAGCCACCCCACCTACCCAACGCGCCTGGAATCACACATTCGGTTTCAACTGGATCAAGACCAACCGGTAGCTTCCAGTTCTCAGGAAGTATGGCCACACACGCACAATATGACCCGGCTCTCGGACCACCAGTCCATCCCGGAACCTGCACCGATGCCGTCTGGAACGAGTACCAACAAGCATTGGGACTCTATGCACAATACCAGGGAGCAATCCCCAAGCAGCCAGTGGCACGGGAAAAGAAGATGGGAAAAATCAAGGAGTTTAGAGGAGACAAACGAGAATATGCATCATTCCTCCGAAACGTGGAACGATACCTACAGGCAAACACGGGAGTCTACAATGATGACTTCAGCAAAATTGCCTTCGTCCTCTCTCAAATCGACTCCTCATCCACAGCAGGAAAGTGGGCCGAGTCATGGGAAGCCAACCAAATGGCGAAACACAGCAATCTTGGGACGTACCAGGATTTCAAAATGACGCTTACCGAAAAATATGGAGGTGTCGTGACCAAGGACCAAGCCTGGCAAGTACTTCTCGAAGGAAAGTACAAGCAGGACAAACAAACCGTCGACGAGTATATCGGAAATCTCGATATCCTCTACCGATATGCCGAAATCGACGACGAATACGCCAAGCTCATCCACTTCAAGTGAGGCCTTAATGAGAAACTTGCAGAAAAAGTCTTCATCACAGAAAATCCGCCAACGACCTATGCAGCAGCATGCAAGGCCGCAAGAAAGGTCACGGACCTCCAAGACATTCATAGCGGAAAGACAAATATCTTCAAGTTCATCTCAGGCTCTTCAGGAAGCGGAAGAAGGACGGAGAAGGACCCTGATGCAATGGACGTTGACCGGATCTCCCCAGAAACCCATCAGAAACGTTCTGTGGGTGGACTCTGCTACAACTGCGGAAAATCAGGACATGTCGCCGCACAATGCACAAGTCCAGAATATGATCCGGCACCAGATCGCTCAGGAAAGACAACTTCATATGCCAAGACCAAGACGTCCAATTCCAGGACGAAGAAATACTCCGGATCTGGCAGACGAAGAAAGACTTCCAAGCCGACTAAATCTTACTCCAAGGGAACGGAGAAGAAACGACGACGAGTAAAGAGGGTCGAGGAAAGCGACTCTGAGGATAACTCGGAAGAGTCGGAACAGGAAGAATTAGAATCCTCATCATCGGAAGAATCAGAATCTAAATCATCAGAATCTGAAGAAGTATCCGAACAAGAAACGGTTGTTCACAGGGTACGAAGAACTCGCCCTGTTAAAACCAAAACAGTTCGCAAAATCAGGTGAACCAAGGATGAATCCAGTGACTCAGAAGAAGAGTATGTGGTCCATAGATTCATCCCCAAAGAAGAACTCGCCAGGATACGACGGGAAGATGCACTCAAAATGCGAGGAGACCATATTAAGAAACGCAATATGACGATGCCCCATCTCGATGATCTTCTGGAATTCGGAGACAATCCAGATAGATACGAATACGCACGCCGATATCCACCACCCATGGAAAAAGACGATCCAGAGGGTTTTGGAATTGGGTGCGCGTCGGGATCTCGTGGCACCCAGATAAAGAAACGGTCCCCGAGGAAGTAATCATACGAGGCGATATCAAACGAGGAAGTGAAATATACCTTAATATCGTCTTCCAAGATTACGATGGCACAAGAACCCGAAGTATTCCAGCAAGAGCCCTAGTCAATTCTGGAGCAAAAGGAATGTTCATCAATGAATCGTTTGCGAAGAAAGCAGGACTCCACCTTCTCAAATCGCAGAAGGAAGTTAAGATTCGTAGTGTCGACGGAAGTCCTATCAATTCTACAAACCAACGATTCAAAGGAACTGTTCGTGCAGGAACGTACGAATGGAATGATGACTTCCTTGTCATCGACTTAGGAAAAGAAGATGTGATCATTGGCAATACGTGGCTTCATGATCACAACCCAATTATCAATTGGCAAACGGGTGAAGTCAAGGTCCGTCAATATGTAGAAGACGTACCGGACGAGGAACCATGGCCTTTCAAAGATAAAGACGCTGTTCGTCTTCCAATCACCAAAAAGGAGAAAGCCAAAGCCAAGCGAACCTTGAGAAGGATTGACTGGTCTGATGTCGATCCTACTCCAGACGAAGCAGGAACCGCTGATTCGGACCTCTTGCTTGCATACATAAAAGGAGCACCGTACTTGGAGGATCAGGAAATAGGAGAAAAAGATGCTATTTTCGCCTATCAACCTGATACTGGCATACTTCAAGAAGTTACGTTCAAAGAAGAAGAACATCGCTCGGCCGGAGAAAGGAAGATGCAGTATCTTGCACTGCGACGAACGAATGCCAAGAAAGATCCCCATCAAACAAGTAAGAAAGATGGAATCTTATGGAAGGCATCAAACAAGGCGCAGGAACTCGCGCAAAAGAAAATGCTCGAGAAGAAGAAGGATTCCAAGAAGAAAGTGACGATACCATCGTACCTTCTCAAGTACAAGCAGATTTTCGAAGAAAAGGCATCAGAACGGTTACCACCGCATAGATCTTACGATCACAACATAGACTTCAAGTCGGACTTTGTTCCTAAACGAGGAAAGGTCTACAATCTATCAAAGCCAGAAGAAGAAGCTATGAATGCCTTTATCGACGAAAACCTTGCAAAAGGATATATTCGTCCTTCGCAATCTGCGATGGCATCACCTTTCTTCTTTGTAGGAAAGAAAGACGGCGGGCTTCGTCCATGCCAGGACTATCGCTATGCGAATGAAGGAACGATTAAGGACGCCTATCCACTCCCACTCATATCGGACCTAATGGATCGACTCCGCCATGTCAAGTATTTCGCGAAGCTTGACATTCGTGGAGCATACACCAATGTCCGAATTCGTCAAGGAGACGAATGGAAGGCTGCCTTCATCACCAAGCGAGGATTGTTCGAACCCACAGTCATGTTCTTCGGAATGTGCAATGCACCGGCAACCTTTCAGCGAATGATGAACGAAATATTCGCAGAAGAAATTGCTGAGGGATGGCTACTATGCTATCTGGATGACATCCTCATCCTTGCCAAAAGCGAAAAGGAGTTGGAAAAGAAGCTTGAACGAGTCATTAAGAAAATGGTCGATAATGACCTCCATCTCAAACTGGAGAAATGTGTGTTCAAGACTACGTGCACTGACTTCCTAGGACTAGTTCTCCTCCCAGGACGACTTCAGATGGATCCAGCAAAAGTCGATGGGATCATCAAATGGGAAGCTCCGAAGGGTGTAAAAGGAGTGCGAGCATTTCTAGGATTCGCCAACTTCTATCGAAAGTTCATTCGGAACTATTCTGAACAGGCAAGACCCTTAATTGATCTTACTAAGACCAAGGGCGGGAATGTGTTCCATTGGACAAGCAAAGAACAAGCTGCTTTCGACCATCTCAAAAACGAGTTCGGCAAGGCACCAATACTGGTTATGCCAGACAAAGACAAGCCTTTTGTCATCGAAACCGATGCATCGGACTTCGCTACAGGGGCAGTCCTCATGCAGAAGGACGATAATGGTGACCTCCATGCCTGCGCATATTATTCCAAGTCGCTCTCCGATCCGGAACGGAATTATCAAATCTATGATAAGGAGCTTCTAGGAATCATCCGCGCACTCAAGGAATGGAGACACTATCTCGACGGAACAAAGGAGCCATTTCTCATACGCACAGATCACAAGAATCTGACGTACTTCAGGCAACCGCAGGACTTGAACCCGAGACAGCGAAGGTGGCAACTCTTCCTGTCTATGTTCAATTACAAGATTGTCCATACACCGGGACGACAAATGGTGCAAGCGGACGCGCTTTCACGGTTGTCCAAATTAGACAATCGCCAGGATAACAAGTCACCTGCAATTCTGTTACCCGACGATCTCTTTATTGGTGCTATCGATACAGATATGGCGGAACAAATCTGACAAGCACTAACAAAAGACCCATCGGTACTTGCGTATAAGGACGGCCTAATGGAAGAACTTCCAGTTCCACGAGGAATGACAAAGGACGACATCAAGGATGCTGACAATGGTTTAATCACCATCCATGGACGTGTATATGTCCCAAACAATACAGCCTTGAAGAAGGAAATTGTTCAGCGATACCATGAAGCCACTCCCCATGGTCATTCAGGAATCTGAGTTACGCATCAGCTAGTGCGCAAAGATTTCTGGTGGCCAGGAATGTATCGCTTCATCCAAAGCTACGTCAATGGATGCGCCACCTGCCAGCAATCTAAAGCTGTTCGAAACAAGGTCAAAGTTCCACTACAGCCCATCGGCCCTTCGCCCAATGCGCTACCTTTCAAGCAAGTTAGCGTGGATTTTATTACCGATTTACCGAAAAGTGAAGGTTTCGATTCAATAATGGTCGTGGTAGACCATGGGCTTAGTAAGGGGGTAATTCTATGTCCCTGCAAGAAGACGATCACGGCCTCGGAAATCGCCGAGCTATTCAGACGACAAGTTTGGAAACGCTTCGGGTTACCCGATAAGATCATCTCCGATCGTGGAACGCAATTCGCATCCAAAGTCTTCCAAGCACTGTGCAATGCGCTCAAGATCAAGTCAGCTATGAGCACAGCTTATCATCCACAGACGGATGGCGAAACGGAGCGAATGAACCAAGAATTGGAAACATATCTTCGAATGTATTGTGCGGAGCAACCACATCGCTGGAATCAATTCCTATCTGAAGCAGAGTTCGCGCACAATCTCCATACTCATTCAGTAACGAAGAAGTCACCATTTGAAATATGGTATGGCTACGAGCCCCGAGGAATGCCAGAACTGTTCCCTCAGGACGAGATCCCCGACGTGGATGCGAGACTCAAGCTTCTTAGCATGGTCCGCAAGGATGCCACAGAAGGAATCATCAAGGCAAAAGCCCGTGTATCTGCCAGGATCAAAGGAGGATCTCCGACGTTCAAGAAAGGAGACAAGGTCTGGCTGGAAGCCACCAATTTGAAAAGACCTTACAAATTGAACAAGCTAGCACCGAAGCGAGAAGGACCCTTCAGGATCAAGGAGGTTCTGGGACCTCTCTCGTTCAAGTTAGACCTTCCTGCGACATGGAAGATCCATCCGGTGTTCCATGCGGCACTGCTCACGCCATACCGGCAGACCAATACACATGGGGAAAGTTATTCAACACCGCCTCCGGATCTTATCGAAGGAGAGGAAGAATTTGAAATCGAGTCTATAATTGGACACCGACTACGGTGCAGCAAGAACGAATATCTGGTAAAATGGGCTGGATATCCACTCAGTGAAAGGTCGTGGGTAAAAGAGACGGAAATGGGCAATGCAGAAGAGCTGCTGAACGAGTATAAAAGGGAGCACGACTTGGCCTGAACCCTCAGTCCATGCCCTCATGCCTGTGCAACATCCCGAGTTTCTCAAATCTGCTATCACCACTTTCGCGCATCTTATCGAAGTTCTCAAAGACGTCGAATCCCACTCCTCCCACGATCATCGTTACCAGGTCTTTCAGCAACTCGGAGTCTATCTCGCTATCAGAGGGGCTGGATTCGCCATCGAGGATCTTGCTGACTTCGACCATACCAACGTCGAGTTCAACACGACCCATCCAAGTCATGATGGACCATCTCATCCAGAGAGCGGACGATGTCCACGAAGTCCACCTCCTGGACGGCTTCAGGTCAACTCGACGACAGCCATATCTAACCCCTCGCCCCAGCGGGCTAATCAGAATCCCTTACCCGTTTCCATTCCAAACGGACAAGCCGAAGGTAACGCTAGAGGACGACGTCGATATCGACCTAGACGGAACATGGGGAACGTTCATGAGAATGAACTACCCAATGTACCTAACGGAGGAACTCCACCTGCCCCGGCTAGAGCCAGATCGACGCCGGACTATCCTAACAGCCGTCTACGCCGGCCTTCCAGTGGGAATCCTCCCACCGTCGTACGCTCTAGATCATCCGCTACACTTTGATATCTTACCAGCAGCACTCTCATTCGCTCTGGATGCATTCAGTGTCATACACGGTACCGTATCAAGAACAATGACAATACCAGCGGAAGAACGTATGGGAATGGCGAACATTCACATCACGGATTGGTATGAAGAAGAGGAACGGCTACTCGAAGGTATAAGTAGCGGCCCTCCTTTCCCTCTACTGGATCATTGCCTCCTCCTACTCGAGTGGGAACTCTACGAGGAAATCTACCCTTGAGACAAAGAGAATCACCCCGCTCTGCCACCTCCACCCACGTCGCTTAACATCCGTGTCACCACCACAGTCACTCGCAGCGCATCCGAGCCAGGGCTCCTCATCGACAGCGACAGAGATGACATCCCGCTCCTGAACAACATTAGCGACGAAGCACTGGCCGAATCATGGAGGAGTGCACGATGGGGAGACGATGAAGATGAGACAGGTCGTTGGACGACGGGAGGATCTTGGACGACGGGGAGAGCCTGGGGAGAAGACGATGAACAGGCAAGGAATGCCGACGAAGAACAACCCGGCCACCCCCACCATCCTGGCGTCACCTACCCCTACAACACCACACCCGAGGATAGATCGCAACCTGCACCGGCAGACACCATCAAGGAGCAGATAAGGTACGCTCGAACGGTCAAGTCTTCGAGCAACCCAGCGGCAGGGCAGGTATCGCTCATCGCCCCGGACGTAGCATCACCTTACGATGTCTTCATCACCACGCCACTAACATTCCTTATGGAATGCGATGGCCATCGTCTCTATGTCCACTGTACGGGCACGGGCGACTTCGCCACCTTCCACGCCTTCGTCTTCACTTGGGACAACCAGAAGATCGCCTGGCACCTCTACTCGGAAGACTCACCCCATCGCGTCTTCAGTCAATGGGTCGCTTTGCTCTATCCGCCACCCATTCCAGGCATGCACAATTGGCATCCAACACCCAACCGGATGCGTATCGTCAGCGTTCGCTTCGCGGGCAAGGAAGAAGGCGTTGAACAGTACGAGGTCGAACTTTTCAGGACATTCTCCGATCAAGTCCACTATGGAGACACCAAGACACCTCGTGAGTTCACGCCGGTCATCTTCCAAGCCCTCGTCGCCATGATCAAGAAGCCTGGGTGGCTTACCGATGGGGTCGAGGCACTGAAGGCGGTCCTCTATGAAGACGGATCCATCTCGCACTGGACGCCCATCGAGTTCCATCCTCAGCCCCAAGAGGATCTCGACGTGGAATGGGAGGTCGTACCCCACACCACCATCCCAGTCTATGGCTATGTGGGTGTCCGTGGAGGGCGATGATGGGTTAGTTTGGTGAGTGATCGTCAAGGGTCTTGCCGGTTGGAAGGGGGGAGCTTGTGTTACGGGTTCAGCGCTTCATGGTCACGTGACAGTTTACGTTGCACGTGACACTTACTATTTATGGTTCATAGGTCTTGTGGACATATCCTAGGGTTAGCAGTTTTCATTTTCACGATTGACTCACTCAGGCCATGCAACC